CATGCACAGGCAATGGTAATACCTCTACGTCTGCTGCCTAACGACTAACAGATTTATTTGTCCCCTTAATTGTAAGAAACATCTTAGTTTCATGAATTAGTTTCACCTTAGTTTCATGAATTAGTTTTATGGTAAAACTTGGGAGGGAGAGGGGCAAAGTCAGTCCATGAATCAAGGAAAATATTTAATGTAGTTTTTGTACTTATTTTTGGAAGCCTAGAAAGATTTTCTTTTTTTTTTTTTGTCTTTTGTCTTTTGTCTTTTTTCGTGTCCGGCAAAGGATCGCAACCCTCAGTGTCGCGCCTGTACCGGACCGGGGACCGGCAACGGAATCGCAACCCTCGGGGTCGCTCCCGCGCCTCGCTCAGCCAGTGAGCGGGAACCGGTCTGTATGTGGGATCCGAACCCTCGGGCGGGAGCGCCGCCGCGCTTCCCAAGCGGCGCACTTATCCAGTGCGCCACCGGGCCGGCCCGAAAGATTTTCAGTTTATCCATTTTAACCACTTTAACTCCATGTTCCCCCACTCCCACCCCCACACCATTTTTGCCAGTTCTATATTATGTTTCAAGAATTAATTTTGTATTGGGTCTGGTTTAAAAAATTCAACCTTTATAAAAACATGTAAGTAGAGGTTCTTCATTTTCTTGTGCTTCTGATTATTTGTGTGAATATACTAACATATATAAATATTTTAAACTAGTATGGTGTTATTTTATTTTATTATTATTATTTTTTTTTAAAGATGACCGGTAAGGGGATACTAACCCTTGGCTTGGTATTGTCAAGCACCACGCTCACCCAGTGAGCAAACCGGCCATCCCTATATGGGATCCAAACCCATGGCCTTAGTGTTATCAGCACCACACTCTCTGGAGTGAGCCATGGGCCGGCCCCAGTATGGTGTTATTTTATATACTGACTTACAAATTGCTTTTTTTACTTTATATATCCTAGATTTTTTTTACAGGTGGAATTACCTCAGTTCTTTCTCTTTAAAAAATCATTCTTTTTAAGTAGCTGTGTGGGAATTCATTTTGTGGACCTCTCAGACATTTTTAATCAATTTTCTGATGATTGATATTTAGATGGTTTCTAATTTAAGTGTTAGCAGAAGGGATAGATTTTTTTGTTGAGTGCGTGTCTAGAATCAGGTTGGCATATTGTATGGGTCTATTTTTAGGTTCTTTATTCTGTTGCATTGGTATATACGTCTTTCCTCCACTAATACCACAGTGTTTTCATTACTATTGCTTATTTATTGAACACATACTATTTGCTTTATTCTGTAGATACTGTTCTAGAGGCTTGTATAGGGAAAAAACACACACTAGAGTGTTTTTCCTATAATCTTATTCAGTAACAATCAACACAGAAGACAGAAGTCTATGACCAAATGTGTGGTGATTTCTTCCCACCGGCAAGCAAGGAAGCAGTTCTGCAGTGGGTGTCCAGCTGGGTGTCCTCTCATTCAGTTCTGTTACTATCTGGAGATAGCATCAGATCCCACAGGTTGAGGATTTAGTCTCCAAGACTGTCCCCCCTCAACCTCTTTCTGATGTCCATTGTAAGCTACAGGTTGTTTTATCTGTGTTTCTGGCTGACTGGCTATAAATTGGGGTTCTTACAACCCCTTCCTTGGGTTTGATTAATTTGCTGAGCGACTCACAGAACTCAGGGGAATATTTACATTTACCAGTTTATTATAAAAGATATTTTAAATGATACAGATGAAGAGAGACATAGGGCATGTTAAGAGGGAAGGGGCAAGGAGCGTCCATGCCCTCCCCAGTCATGCCACCCTCAAGGAACCTCCATGTGTTCAGTGTTCAGCTATCTGTAAGGTCTCTGAACCCTGTGCTCTTGGGTTTTTATGGGAGCTTCATTACACAGGCATGATCGAAGCATGGACACTGTGTAGAAATGTGATTGGACAAAAAGAGTATGAACTAACAGTAATGGACTGTGTGGGAAAACCCAGAAAGACCTGTCCAGATTCTTCCCGGCCTCTCTGTGTAGCATTCCTTCCTCCTGGACATGGGATGGGACCCCTTCTCGAAAGGGGGTCTTATGACCTACAATCAGATAAGATAGGTCAGAGAATTTCTTTATGGCCAGCTCCAAGATAGAAAGGCAGGGTAAGGTTAGAGCAAGCCAGAAACTGTGAATGAAAACCAAAACATACATATCACAAGGCTTGAGATATATCTGTGAACAAAACAAAGATTTCCATCCTATGGATCTTTCTTATGGGGTTCTGTGGGATAAGAAAGATGAGAAAGAAACAAAAGTTATATTTTAAGTTCAAATGTTAAAGTGATACGAAAAAAGTAAAACAGTAAATAGAGTCTGGAGAGATGTAGATTGCCATAGGTAGTAAGAATAAGCTTCATTGAGACATTTGAAAAGAGGCTGGAAGAGGGTGAGAGAGTGAGCCAAACATATCTGAAGAAAGAATGTCCAGGGAAAATGAATAGCCAGTGCCTGCCATGTTTGAGAACAGCAGGGAGGTGTGTGTAGCTGGAACACAGTGAACTAGGGGTAGAAAAAGTAGCAGCTTAGGTCTGAGAAGGTCTGATCATCAGCAGTGCCTCATATGGGAAGTTACCTCATACTCAAGATAACTTTATCAAATAATGATAAAGATAACATACCAAGCAGCAAGGAAGCTTTCTGAGCTCAGCCTATGTCACTGAGCTACATAGTTATGAACTAAATAAATTCTTGTTGTAAGCCACTGAGTTTTGGAGTGATTTGTTATACATACACTATTACTATTGTGTGAGAATAAAATTACACAGCCAGGTTATTCTTTTTTCCTTTTTTAAATAACATATAGTAAACTTAACTTTTTAAAAATATATATATAGATTCATGTAATGCCAATACTATCAGTATATAGAACATTTTCATCACCCCCAAATTTGCTATCCCCAACCCCATTTCCTAGCAACCAGTAGTAGCAACCCCATTTCCTAACAACTGTAGTAGTCTTGTCTTTGCAAGAATGTCATATAAATGGAATCATAAAATTTGTAATCATTTGAGACTGGCTGCTTTCACTCAGCATAGTGCTTTGAGATTCATCCATGTTGTTGCATGTACCAACATTTAGTTTCTTTTTAATCCTTAGTAGATTTCACTGTGTGGTTGTACTACTGTTTTCTTCATGTTGAGAGTTCTTTACACTAGTTAAAAATTCTTTGTCAAATATGTGATTTGCAGATATATTATCCCAGTTTATAGCTTGATTTTCTTTCTCTTAACAGTGTCTTTCACAGAGCAAGTGTTTTTAATTTTGATGAAGACCAATTTATTAGTATTTTTCCTCTATGTGTTGAACTTTGAGTATGATGGTTAAGAACTCTTTGCCTAACATAAGGTCATGAAAATTTATCCTATTTTTTTCTTCTAAAACTCTTATAGTTTTACATTTTGCATTTAGCTATATGATCCATTTTGAGTTAATTTTTGTATAAAATGGGAGATAACAGGTTTTGATTATTTCAGATATGCGAGTCCAATTGTCCCAACACCAATTGTTGAAAAAACTGTCCTTTCTCCACTGAATTGCCTTTTTACCTTTGTCAAAAATCAGTTCACCATGTATGTACGAGTGTGTTTCTGGGTTCTCTGTTATATTCCATTATTTATTCTTTTAATAATACCACACTGTCTTGATTACTGTAGCTTTATATATTAAGTTTTAAAATCAGGTAGTGTGTCTTCCACATTTGTTCTTCTTTTAAAAATTTGTTTTTGACTGTAGATCTTTTACTTTTCAATATACGTTTTAAAGTCTGCTTGTCTGCTACCTGTCTATATCTACAAAAACTCCTGGGATTTCGATTGGAGTTACTGTAGTAACTCTTTCATTTTCTGCGGTTTCAGTTACCCATGGTCTGAAAATTAGGTAAGTACAGTACAGTACAGTAAGATATTTTGAGAGAGAGACATTCACATAACTTTTATTGTTGTAGTTGTATTACATTATTATTAGTTGTTGTTGTTAATCTCATACTGTGCCTAATTTATAAATTAAACTTTATCCTTGGTATGTATGTATAGGAGAACACATAGTATATATAGGATTTGGTGCTATCCACAGTTTTAGGCATCCACTGGGGAACATAACCCCTGCTGATAAGGGGGGACCACTCTACCTTAAACATAAAGATCATTTCAGAAGAACTGACATCTTAACTATTTGAGTCTTCCAATCCATTAATGTGATAGGTCTTTCATTTCTTTCAGCAGTGTTTTTGTAGTTTTCAGCATACAAATCCTGTGCATGTTTTGTTAGATACATATGTAAATATTTGATGATTTTGGAGCTATTATAAAGTAGGTCTTTCATTTCTTTCAGCAGTGTTTTTCTAGTTTTCAGCATACAGATCCTGTGCATGTTTTGTTAGATACATATGTAAATATTTGATGATTTTGGAGCTATTATAAATGGTATTATTTTAATAACTTCTGTTTCCAGTTGTTGATTATTAGGATACAGACATTTAATTGATTTTTGCATGTTGACCATATGCCCTCCTACCTTAAGCTTACTTAATAATTCTAGAGCACAGCCAGATTATTTTTAAGAAATTATAAACTGGGAATGGTTTTTTAAGTTCATTTTTGCTTTTTTTTTTGATGAGATGTCCAATCTTAAATCTTGAATGAGTTGAAATTTTCTTTTCCTTTTCCTTTTCCTTTAGCAGTGTACATATGCAGCTTTGCTACTAGTTGAATGTCTGTATGGCCTGATGATGGAAGCATCAACCCCAAAAAACACACACTAATTTCAATGTCTAATTTCTACCTCTTTTTATAATCACATAATAGTGATACTGGCTAGTTTTATGAAAAACTTTGTGGTGTCATAATCATGAATTTTAACAGAAGAGTACAATCCGGGTTCTTAATTTTGTAACTGTTTCTCAGCTGTCATATGTTTTAGCTCTGAATAATTATTCTGTTTCTTCTCTCTTTTTCTCTTTTCCCCCAGGTATTGGGAGAGTTGCTGCTACATCTTTAGGAAATTTAACTAACCATGGTTCTGAAGATTTACCCCTTCCTCCTGGCTGGTCTGTGGACTGGACAATGAGAGGGAGAAAATATTATATAGATCATAACACAAATACAACTCACTGGAGCCATCCTCTTGAGCGAGAAGGACTTCCTCCTGGATGGGAGCGAGTTGAGTCATCAGAATTTGGAACCTATTATGTAGATCACACGAATAAGAAGGCTCAGTACAGGCATCCCTGTGCTCCTAGTGTACCTCGGTATGATCAACCACCTCCTGTCACGTACCAGCCACAGCAAACTGAAAGAAATCAGTCCTTTCTGGTACCTGCAAATCCATATCATACTGCAGAAATTCCTGACTGGCTTCAGGTTTATGCTCGAGCCCCTGTGAAGTATGACCACATTCTGATGCGGGAACTCTTCCAGCTGGCTGACCTGGATACATATCAGGGAATGCTAAAGTTACTCTTCATGAAAGAATTGGAACAGATTGTTAAAATGTATGAAGCCTATAGGCAGGCTCTCCTCACAGAGTTAGAAAAACGCAAGCAGAGACAGCAGTGGTATGCCCAACAACATGGCAAGAATTTTTAAGTTAATTTTTTTTAAATTAAGTTTTATAAGAGCTTTAAAATATTTTCACCGATAAAAAATTGCAAATAAGTACTTTGGTTAATAATGGCAGCTTACTTTTTGGAAATTATAAAATTCTAAATTACATGTATTTT